ACACACACACACACACACACACACACACACACACACACACACACACACACACACACACACACACACACCAATCTATTCGTCTTTCCCTGCTCAGAGGGGCACATGAAAATGGGAAGAGGACTGGGTGAGAAGCAAAGGAGGCTGCAGCTCTGGGATCAAGATAAGGCCTGAGATCTGAGCCATAAAGTTTGGTTGTGGTGTTTTTGAATTTTATCACAGAGGTAATGCAGTGATATGAAGATGCATATCATTCATAATCTCTTTTAGATTTTTCACTTTGTTGAAGTTTAACGTTCATTTGCATAAATGTTGAGGTTTTCGCATCTTGCTCTGAATGTAATAAGATAATTAAAAAATGAAATAAAGTGTAAGTAGCCTTATTTTGCAGGTTACAGTTCACTGACTTTAGATACTATTCTTTATAACCTAAAGCCTTGGARGATTTATTCTTCTAAACATTTTGTCAGCCTAAGTACATTTTTAAAATACAGGCAAAATTAGTCAGTTTAATTTTTCTTTTCCACAGTATATATGCTATATTGTGCCTCCTTCCATTGTGTCCTTTTGGGACTGTTTTTACCCTGTTTCTCAGGACTACCAACAATGTTATAGTTACAATCTGCAGTAAAACAAGGCAATGTCAGTTTTTCAAACTACTCATGACCCTTAAGAGCACACATTCTGACTAACACTTGTGTCTGCAAGAGTCCAACAGATGTGTTTAAAGTATAGAAACATGTATATTTTACTGTGAAGGGCTGCCTCTTTTTGATTAACATGACACCTACTTTTAGTAAAATGGTTCTGGGGCAAGTTTTAATATTTTGTTCAATCAATTAAACATTTTACTCAAAATTACTGGTGAGAAATCAAATGTTTTTTTTAAACAAACAGGTGAAACACTGGCTAAAAGTTCAGAAGATGTTTTAAAAATACAAATAATGGCCTCTGGGTATATTTGACTTGTTGAATGATAGCAGACGTTGGACCAAAGCAACAACAGGTATAAAGAAAAAATTTCTTGCTTTGGCAAAAAGGCTTTAAATAAAAGAAAAATATAGTTTTTTGTTCTGTGGGAGCTCCTAAAAAAACTTCCACCTCTTATTAAATGTAATCCAGCAGAGTCTGATTCTCTGGTCGTGTTTTATTTGTGCAGTGAAAGTCTGTAAAGTGTGTAGCTCTGTGTCAAGCCCAGATAAAATGAAAGTTTTCTTTTCCGCTGTGTCTGTGTTCACCTACATCTGAACCCTTTCACCCAGTTTCGCTCCGTTTCTAAAGAAGTATATCCTGTTGATAGCAGTATTATCACACATTCCTGTTTGAAATTCTCTTTCCCCCTTTGCGTCCCGCTCTGTTAATCCTCCAACTGACTTCTGCACTTTTGACCTTCTTTACTTCACCTCTGTATCTCTCCATGTATTTTTTTTCTCGATACCCACTCAGTATTGTTCTCATAGTTTCTTTAACTTTAATACAGTCCTCATTTTCTGCTCTTCCACAGAACCACGAGAGGGAAACACCGCTCCACTGTGCGGCGCAGTATGGACACTCTGAGGTGGTTTCAGTGCTGCTTCAGGAGCTGACCGACCCGACTATGAGAAATAACCGACAAGAGACGCCCCTCGACCTGGCAGCACTTTATGGACGCCTTCAGGTCAGTGAGAATGGAATACACTTGTTCTGAAAAGAGAGGAAATGGACATAAACTTATCTGTCATACAAAAGTACTTCCACACAGACTTCAACTACAGATGTCTGCTAATATTTAAATACACGCAGGTGTTTTCTCTGCTAAGCTGTAATTGCAGTCAAACCATCCAGGTTAGACTGAGGGTGAATGAATAATTTATAACAGCAGTGCTGTAATTCTCTTTCTGCATAATAATGAAGGGAAATCCTAGTGGTGGAAGCTGAATGTGCAGAAGTTTGGCACAAACCGAAAATATGAAGCTCAAGATGTAGCAATCAAAGTTAATAGAACATTTAGATCATTCCACTGACGATTCAGATGAAGACCTTTCTTTTGTCTGCAGGTGGTGTGCATGTTGGTGAACGCTCACCCAAATCTCATGACGAGCCACACTCGCCTCCACACTCCGCTTCACCTGGCTGCTCGCAATGGCCACCACAGCACCATCCAGACCCTGCTGGAGGCCGGCATGGATGTCAACTGTGTGGTGAGTTGGAGAACATCTTGGTTTGTTTTTTTTTATTAAAGTACTTGAAAGATTACACGTCTTATTAGCTTAGCTTTAGTTGGATGCATCATTATGAAAACAAAATTCAAGGAGGTTGGTTCTAATTTTGTCCTTTTTGTCTGGTTTATGGTTGTTGTCAAACAAATGCTTGAGTTGCATCTGCACTGTCAGCTAATTTCAATTTTGTTAGACAGCAATGAAAGACCACAGCTGTTTCTAGGAGAATGCTCAGGTTTTTGGGTCAGGGTTGCTACGGCTCATAGTATTATTAATGTGTTTGTTGTCATCAATAATTCAGTTATGTTTTGACTAATTTAAGCTTTTGTGTTTTAAATATTTAATGTCTTTATATTCTGAATAATTTTGGTCATGTTCTACAATAACCTGGGTTTTTGTTACAAACACTGTGGCCAGGGTTCCTCATACCATTTGTTGTCTTTCTATTATTAATGTAACTCTTTTATTGTTGTAATGCAGCATCTGAGATGTTCATTTTTTGATTTTATTTGCATTAGACAGACTTCTGCACTGTTTTTAGATTTAAGGTTTTATTGCATTTCTTACACAAAACATGCATGACAGATTGTATCTTGGACAACGTGTGTGTATCAAAGCGCATGCGCAGTCTGTAAATGCTTCACATGGTTTTGTGGTGTGGGATAAATTATTGATTGGTAGAAAACAGTGTGAGAGAGGAGGGGAAGGGAACAGGGAGTTCCTGAGGGATCCTGATGGTTCATTGTCTAATTTCTCCTCTTTACACAATACATTTTAAACCAACATAATAGATATATCTCATGTGTTTTTTACAGGATGTGGGGCGAAATTACTACTCAGTTGCACAATCTTTACAGTGTTCTTTTTGCTTCTATACATTTAGTTGTTTTGTGTACTTTAAATTGTCTGAATGAATCACATCCGTGCCGAGTCTTTGGGCCATTAGTACTTGAGAGGTCTTGTCAGAATGCTGCCATGCTTTGCTGCTTTCTCCAGTGCTGTTGYCTTCCTCAGGAGATACGAGGGGTGGGGTTCAAAAAGGCTGAACTTTCTAACTTTGCTCACTTGTTTCAAACGTGAAACAGTCTCTATAAACGTTTTTATCTTGTTTCTTTTGTTTAAGCAAACATACTGTCTTCAGTGAAACAATTACCACACTTTAAGCCAATTTTAGTTTTAGTCAGGTTAATTATGTCCACAAAGAACTGATAAACATTTCTTTCTGAATATGATATTTATTAAGATGTTGTTTGACCAGATTTTAAAAAAGATCAGGATAAACTGCCTTAAATTATAAAAGAAAATATATAAACCTATTTATATGTAACTTGCATAGTAGCCAAAGATTAGCAAACCCCTAAAGCTCATGGTTTAAATTCAATAATCAGCTAAATCTGAACATAGACGCAGGACTTTTCTTTGGATGTTAAACTGATAAAACTTTGCCTATTCTTGAAATTAAACTTTTTTACCAAACAKTTATAGAAAGTTTAGAACAGTTTAGTCAGTCCTCAAGGGCTGGTGTCCTGCATGTTTTAGACGTTGTCCTGGTTCAACACATCAGAACCTGTGGAGAGATTAATTAGTAGGCATCATGTGTTGAAGCAGGGACAAATCTAMAACAAGCAGGAGACCGGCCCTCGAGAACTGGAGTAGGACTTGCCTGCTTTAGCACAACCTAAATGTCTGATTGTGCTAGTATTTGGGAAATAATGTGATAAAAGTTAGGATCATTGAATTTTCCTGTTGCCTGACTCTGTTATAAAGACCGATGCACAGGAATATGGCGAAGAAATGTATAAACACACAAATCTAAACTCCTTCTCAAAGTGTCCCCACAACATGTTTTTTTTTGTTTTTGTTGTGTTGCAGCCTTGTTCGTCTGTAAAACTTATGTACTTGTGTGTTTCATCTCTGAGAAGCCTGACACAACTTGACCTGYAACATCTGAGCATCACTGAGACGTTTTTCACACTGAGGAGACACTTGACTCAGCGATGTTGCACACATCTTTTCTTTCTTCTGTCCTTTTGGGTGCGTTTGTCTCTGTGTGTTCATGCATGCTCTGATCTGAAGAAGAGAGATGGTTTTCAGAAGGGATTTGGCCCCAGGCTCCATATGTCTAGTGAAGATGAACACTACATTCTTTGATATGCCTCATCTCCTCCACAAAAGCCCATGCTACCAGTCTCTCTCTCTGTTTCTCAGCTTTGTGATAATAAGCACTGCAAGCTTTAGATATTTCTAAATCATATCCTCATTGTGTCCTTCATTCTTATTTATGGCTTTAAAATTCACAGGAAAAACGCTAATCATTGTTCTGCTATCCATGCACAGCAAGTTATAAACATTGCTGCTGTAAATATTAGCTGTAATAATAATAATTGTCCTAATAACATAAACTGTGAAAAGTAAAACATTTAGTTGGCTGAAATACATTTTTAACCTTTTTTGACCTTAGAAAACATAAAAAATGTTTACAATTCTGTCAATTTTTCATAAAACAGAGCTAAAATTGTTTGTTATAGGTTAATTCACAACACATACAGCGGGTAAAATAAGTATTGAACACGTCACCATTTTTCTCAGTAAATATATTACTAGAGGTGCTAATGACATGAAATTTTC